AAAATTTATTACATTAAGAATTATAATTTAATTGGCAGGATTAAACCAGATTTATCTTCCAGTGCTTGATGTTCGCGTCTTGGCCAACGCTCAATAATTCACTATCGTTCAAAAACACGAGACCATTGACAGGCGACATTGCATGAGCTCCTAAAAACAGGTTATGCAACACGGATATGCTTTGTCGATTCAATGAAAAACTAGAAGAATATGTCCAAAATAATGCTTCGAAAAAATACGATACTTAGTTATAGATTTGATCAATTGCACCTTTCACTGTGACAACCGGTCCTCTGTGGCGGACCAAATGAAAGAAAAAATCTTTCGAGCAATCATGTGAAAAGAGCTATGCTTGCGATGACGCATATCGTCTGCGTAAACAAGCTTTGAGAATTAAGACCTTTGATATTATTTAAGAAGATAGTTGACGCAGAAACAAAAAAGGTTGAAGGCACATATAGATAAATATGTCTCAATATTCGGTCGAGACGATCCAAGTATAAGCGACGGTGTACATATGTGCGCTTTATGTGCCATAAATTACCAAAGATTCAAATGAACAACGGGGAAGAGAATGGGACTAAAGTTGTACCTCGAATAATTATTGGGTGTTCGCCGCTATGCTGCAAATCCCATACGATGACATTGGTGTCCAAACCACCCGTTGCCAAATGGCGATTGTCTGTACTCCAGGCAACGCAGTTGACCTTGGCAGTGTGGAAAGTCCATTCCTTTTCAGCAATGGTTGTGAAACCATCTTTCACTGAGTATGGTACGACCTGAAAGAGCAGACATAGTGCCTTTTCTTGGATCAATCTCTGTAAAAAAAAAACAACCTTTCTTCCACTATCAGTGGCGACCAGGTATTCGCCATTAGGTGAGAATGCAACGGCTGTGATTGGCGTTGAATGTGGCAGTGTTTTTTCCTCTTTCAAGCTGGTGCCAGAGAGGGAGAAGATATGTACTTTCGAATCCTGTAACCAACGGACGACATGTTAGTAGATAATGACTAATCGTGATAGCGTATGTTTTAGAAAAGGGTATAGAAAAAAGAGACGAAGGTACATACCTGACCACCGACAGCAATCAAATTGTTCGAAAGTGCAACACATGAGGGATTGAAAGATACGCTGAGATCGGTTGACAATGTTTCACCCTGGAAGATATCTTTCTTCAGAACCTCAAAGTGGGACCTCTGTATAGTGTAGTACTGTGGAGATGGCTGCGACTATTCTATAAATTAGATAACCAACCTTGAAGACAATGATGTTCTTAGCACAAGCAACAACAGTAAGGCCACCTTCCTGAGAAGACACGACATCGAGAGGTTGTGAAGGCAGTTTCACGGATGATGAACGTGGCGTGTCTGAACAAAGCGTTACCACCAACTCTTATATGCTAAGTACCACAAACGGACCTGAATTGAGAATGTCATGGGTGAATCGAACGGTATCGTCCCATGCACTACTGATGAGCTGATCTTTTACAAAAGCCAGCCCGACAACCTGAAATTCGAGAATTACGTGGTAGATTTTGGTGAAAGTGAACTCACTTGCGACTTGTGAAGCGCTGGGGAGATTCTCTTCGACTCGCCATTGCTGACATTCCACTTCGCTGCAAACATTCTGGATGAGTGACTTTATTGGTATCAAAGGGTTGATAGCCGCTACATGATATGAAAACATGATATAAAAACAACTCAGAAAAAGCTTACTGATATGTCCCTCAAAATCGGAGGTAAATAGCCATTGCTTGTCTTCGCTGAGAGCAAGAGCGGTGATGCCTTTGTTGTGGCCGTGATTTACCTGGAAACAAAATAGCTCCCTGAAGCAGCGGTTAGCTTCAGAGAATGAGCAAGAAGCTTGTGTACTTTGGCACACTTTCAAATTCGAGATTATCTCGATTAGTTAAGTCGGTTAGAAAAAGAATTCAGCAGCAGTTCAAAACTGGCGATGAAATCAGATCAGCTACTGTGCAATAGCAGCTACCATTAGTGAAGGGCATTAGCACGATGCGAATAGAAAACTACCTTGGCAACTTTCCCAGCTGGGTCGATAAAGTTAACAAATCCAGCGAGTGACACGGAAACCAGTGCTTTGGGACTCCAAGTGATCCCCACTTGCTGATCATCAACAGAATCACCAAAATTGATGGTACTAAAAGCTGACGTTCACTAGATAACCATTATCACTTCTTGTGAGTATGAGAAACGACCAACGATCGTGATAGTAACTGGGCACGCACCTTTCGAGGGCTTTCTCTGCTACATTCCAAATTTTCACTGTTTTGTCAGCAGAAGCAGTGGCAATCTTCTTTCCATCAGGCGACCATGCTAATCCAAAGACGCTTCCAGAATGAGCCGCCTCTGTCTTAACTATGTCTTTACGTCGACAGAAGGAAAATATGGTTGGAACCGTTGAAGCTTACCTTGAGGGATGAATCGAGCAAATCGGCAACTTTTGCACCTTCCACTCCCTCGAAAAGCACCACCTACAATAGAAGCTGGACAGGCCCGCATCTATTACAGTAAGCGAAATTCATACCTTTCCATCGGCACTGGCACTAGCGAAGAGAGAACCATCGGGACTGTACTTCGTTACATGAACAAAACGTGAATGTTCATGGAAGGTCTGAACGACAATAAAATGACATGATAAAAACCTTGCAATGAGCAGGCGAGGTACAAAACAAAACATCAAATTCGGTGAAACTGCCTAGATACTGAACAGTGATTATGAAAAAAGGGCTCCTTCAGCAAAAGGAAAACTGCAACCGAAATAACGTCACCATGACTTACAGTCTTGAACTTGAAAGGTGGACCCTCGAAAATCGCCACGGTATTGTCTTCGGAGCCGCTGATAAGCCGATATGGTCTCTAAACGCTATGAATCATCATTGAATCAGGGAACTGAGAGAAAAATCGAACCGCTGGACGAAAGTCGATGCTACTCATAGGTCGGGATTGTCCAGACAAGTTACCATTGGATGTTCCAGTGTCGAACAAGAAAACATGGCCGAACCTGAACTACTCAAACATATTAAGAAAAGTTACCATAGAGATATTAGAGCTAGATTCTTGGCAAGATATATTATGGTAAAACAATCCATAATAGAGGATCTTCTTTCCAACAAAAGAGAATCTTCTATTTTAATGAACATGACAACGATACCACCAATCTATGAACCCTGGACAGTATAATCAGCCGATTTGGTTTGCTTTACACCAGTGGAAAATCCTCGCAGACGAGCTAAGTGCACTACGAGCTAACTTGAAATAGAAACTTGAACTAAATGCATGCCCAACAGCTTGTAAAGGAACCTTCACAAACTTCAGATAACTTCGTAGCTAACAAACAAAAGCTCGCTACAGTCGTAAGCGATGTGTCAATCATCGAAAACGCACTCTATAGAAGCGAGCCTTTCAGTAACATTTACGCAAATACACATAAGATCATCCATAAGAGTGGTTATGTGAAGAAAAGTGTTAATAACGGTAAAGTGATAAAATTGAATTTGAAGGTAGAAAAGCATAAAACTCGTTTGAAAGCAAACCTTTCTCGTCCCTCTCCTACAGCAGCGAGTCTTTTACTATCATCGCTCCAAGCAATGTCTCTCACACTACCAGAAAACACCTGAAAAGGCTCCCATTGGAACTGGGCTAACTCGTTATTTGAGTTCATTTTCAAACTAAAGTGCAAACCTGATAAGTTGCCTTGAGGATGTGGGTAGTTTGCGTTGTATCCCAGATTCTAACATTTCCACCTGTGTCGCCAGAGGCGATATAGAATCTGAAAAGCTGACGCATGTTTATTTCTGTTCAAAACTCATCAGTGTAAAGACCTACCCAGATGGACTCATTTTTGCGACGGTCGTGTTCAGTGAATGTTCTGTGTAGATGTCCACATCGGTATTATTCTGAAAGATGTAAAGAACCTCAAAAATTTTATGACTGGACAAACGGAAATTGAAAAGTAGTCAAACACCACATCAGTATTAACATTTATCGTCGATTCGTGATACGCAAAGACTGGACGCCGCTGCGTCCGGCCAAGATAGCTTGTGAATGGGAGAGACCGCAGACGGTA